AATCCATGATATTGTACTTGATATTATATTGTTACTTTTAAAATAATAAAACAATCGAAATATATAAAAACTTTCTTCTTCAATTGACTCCAAAATTTGATGGAATACTGTGTCCACATTGACAATGATTTGACGTGCTCGTTCCGTCTGTTTTGATTGCCTTATATTACATGGAGCACTATTTGCACGGAAAAGCGGAACATTATGGTGACAAATATACATTTTTATTCATTTTTAAAATTGTTTTTACCCAATATATAGTAATTTTTATTAATATGTTTATTTTTTCAGCTTATTTATTAGTTACAAGCATTTTAATTGATAAATATCGTCAAAAATTAATATTTTATAATTTTCCGTTCCTCTTTTCTTCTCAAAATCAGCTCCATGTAATATAAGGCAATCAAAACAGACGGAACGGAACGCGGGAATTTGGTTACTATTCTATTCCGCGTTTCCGCATTTCCGCGCTTCATGTAATGGCACCCTTAGTGTCAACGATTTATTAATTCTTTCGCGGCAACCACACCCTGCCCCTCTACCGTTAGGTGAGCAGCCGGCCCGTTGCGGAACTTCCAGCCGGATTTTCGCGTAATTCAGTATGTCGCGAATTGTCGCGAAAGATCGTGCCTGACGCCCAAAATTTCGAGTAATTTCGCATATCCGTCGGCTGGCACACTCTGCTGCGGCATGCGCGGAGCGACCACCAACTTAGTTCCCGCGTCAGATAATAATTTTTCAAGAATAAATAATTTTCTATTCTTCTTTCTTTTTTTGACGACGACCTCTGCTCGCCGCATTTGCTCCGGGGCGAGAAAAGTCGTCGCAATACATATTAGAACATTATTTTATTATAAAAAAGTGTGAAAGTTAACAATTTTTAAATAATAATCCTTAAGGTTGCCAGTAATAATTAATAAAAAACCACTCCTCAATGTTTAAAGTCGACCAGACTGGCAATAATTTATTATAAATAATTATTTGAAATACAACAACAACGGCAGTCTTACATTGTTCATCAAAACAAGCGTTAACATTGTCGGTAGTTTGCATAGAAGTTGATTTACTGTTTTAAATTTGATGTACTTGAAAAGGGCTGCAATGACAGCCGAAACGTTGTTGTTGTATTTCAAATAATTATTTATAATAAATTATTGCCAGTCTGGTCGACTTTAAACATTGAGGAGTGGTTTTTTATTAACAATTTTTAATTAAATCTAATAATGTAAAGTAAATAAATGGATTTTAGGAAGTACACGCAGTAAACATGTATTCATCGAACTAATACGAAACCGCGCCGCTAGATGGCCTCATAGCGACAAACTTATCCGATAGTAAAAAACCACTTTCGTGCTTTATATAAAGCAAGTAAGTCGCTTCAATTATTATTAAAAATGGAAATGTTGAAGAAACTGTTGAACTATATAGGTTTATATGACGAAACTAAAACCGATTTTATAAAAGAGTTGCCTCTTGAAATATCAAGCAAAATAATGACTATGTTAGACTACAAATCCTTTCAATCTGCTAAAATGGTTAGTCGCAGTTGGAGTCGTATATGCGTATACGAATTTAAACATAAAAAACTTATGCGACAAATTAAAGCGAACAAAGATCTTTCTAATAAATTGAGAATAAAAAAATTATGAAGTCAACTATAGAAATAGAAAGCAGCAACGGTATTAAATCACAATGTACATATCATAAATCGGTGCAAACACATATATACTTTGCCTTCAAAACAGTAAAAGCGTCGAGTTATCAGAGACGAAGAAATATACGATTGTAATATTCAAATGTAAAAAATATAATTTTTGTTTTTTTATATATACAGGGTTATATATATATATATACAGGGTGTCTCAGAATTACCATATTACACGTTAATGGGAGATTCCTGAGGCGATTTGGAGACGATTTTTTCTCAGCAAAAATATCGAGAAAGGTCATTTTTTTAATGTTCCCAATTTTTGAAATCATGTATCTTTGTAACTAAGCCTTAAATTAAAATTCTATTAAAGTAAACTTACTTTACTTGAAATTAACTAAAAATATAGTTTTGTTGATAATTAATTTTTACAAGGTTAAATTTACAAAAAAGCTTTTATTTTCAATCGTTTATAACTCGAAAATTATTAGTGTCTGGACATTTTTGCTGAGGAAAAATCGTCTCCAAATCGCCTCAGGAATCTCCCATTAACGTGTGATACGGTAAATCTGAGACACCCTGTATTATATATATATATATATATATATATATATATATATATACTGCGAAGATTTTAATAGTAATTTTGATAATGAGTCTGCATCATCTTCAAATAATAGTACATCACAGAGTAACAATAATCTATAAAAAGTGAAATACAATGATAGTAATGATGATAATGGTACATAAACGAAAATATTAAGTATTTATCGATAAACAAGTTATTAAAAATTCTTAAAGTGCACACAAACATTCAAAATCTTCCTAAAGATGACCATACCCTATTAAAAACAAGTAGAACAGCACTTGTAAAAAAGTTAGGCAGTAGTGGTGATTTGCATTATATTGGCATTACTCACAATTTACAAAAGAAACATAAATATTATGGTGATATTATTTAATTAACTTTTAATGTTGATGGAATACTTATATATACATATAAAAATTCCTCTAAGCAATTTTGGCAAATACTTTGCTATGTAATAAATGACATCAACACGAGCCATTTTTAGATTTTTTGTTTCTTGGTAAAAGTAAGCTAGAACCGCAATTACTGATTATTTTGATGATTATACTAGAACTAAAAAATTTATAATAAATTTGATAAAAGGCTGTTAAGAGCAGTAAATATAAAAATTCAAATTATGTTAGAAAGTAAAACATATATAAAAATAATATTCTTTAATATAATGTCTACTAATAAATTACAATAAAAGGTGACAAAAAAGAATTAAACAATAAGTACTCTTTAAATATAAATATAAAGCGAACGTTTCGGTCAATATTTTGACCATTATCAACGCTGATTAAATTCTGAATTTAACAAATAATAAACGGTGTCATAACGGTATTATATAAATCAAGCATAGTCAAAAAACGTCATAAAGTATGTAACGCATTAAAATACAATGATAGATACAATGATTAACAAATATTATCGTAAGAGAAAAAGAGAAGATGTAAAAATGAAAAGCGATATTCCTCCAACATAGTAATAATGTGATGGTTAAAAATCGTAAATTGTGTTTCTACTCCGGTTATTAGACCCAATAGACACATAACCCCTTAACTGTGAGTTACGCACATATGCGCAGAAAAAAGTCGTGCCATTTTTGTCTCATAACGCATATGTGCGCATTTGAAAAAAAACATGTTTATACTTCATCGATTCGATTGTAATTTGGTAAATCATGGTTTTTGAGGTCGCTGAATCCGAATCTGAAATCGGATATTCAAAATGGCGGATCCAATATGGCGGACGCAAATGCGAACAATAGTTCGATTTTGACAAAAATTTGTATCTCTAGATGTTTGTGATCGCGAATGTACGAGGTGTGTTCAAAAAGTATCGCGAATTTTGTGTTTTTTCAAAAATTATTTATTTATTCATGAATATCTATTTTGTCCCCTTCAAAGTAATCCCCACCAGATATTATACACTTGTGCCAACGTTTTTTCCAATCCTCGAAGCACTTCAAAAATCATTTTTTGTGATCTTGTTCAGCTCCTCCTTCGATGCCGTCTTTATCTCCTCAATCGTAGCGTAGCGTCGTCCTTTCATGGGCCTCTTCAGTTTCGGGAACAAGAAAAAGTCACAGGGGGCCAGATCTGGGGAATACGGTGGCTGCGGCATTATTAGTGTGTTGTTAATGCGATGCTGTTTTTGGTCGAAATTGAGCAATTTTGGTACGAATTTCGCGGCGACCCGTGTCATGCCCAAATCATTGGTAAAAATCGAATGGCACGAGCCAATCGATATGTTTAGGTCCTCGGCAACTTCTCTAACGGTGATTCGACGATTGACCAATACTATTTTCTTCACTTCATCAATGTTTTTGTCTGTTGTTGACGTGCTCGGGCGTCCGGCACGCTCTTCGTCGTTCACATCTTCTCGGCCCTCGGAAAACATTTTGTACCACCGATAAACGTTGCTTCGGTCCAAGGTAGCTTCACCATATGCCACAGTCAACATTCGGAATGCGTCCGCGCACTTAATTTTGTTTTTCACACAAAATTTGATACAGATTCTTTGATCCATTTTTTGGAATAGGCAAAAATCGAAGACGAGCCAAAACACGTGCAAGCAAAGCAGCTGTCAAAAATTAACTGAACATTCAAAATGGCCGTACTTGTCGGCATAAATGAGAAACATGAGTACCAACATAACGCCACAAAAAAATCGAAAATCGAATATACGTAACCCGCGGAAATTCAAAATTCGCGATACTTTTTGAACACACCTCGTACAATTTGAGTCCTGACTCTAAGTATCTGAAACTCGGATACATTATGACGAATAAAAATTCAGCAAACCATTCATGGCAAATTATCCATCGTAAAAAATGTAAAAGAATATTTTTTTGTTTTTATATCCCGCTCTCTGCCGAACCCAGAGTCACAAATCGAGGACGTGGCGGTTGTTGACTCCGTTTTTGTATTTTTTTTTTGTACTTTGTGTATTTTTTAATTTTTTTTGTGCTTTTTGTGTTTTTAAATTTTTTATTATTTTTATTTTCATTATAATTTTATTAATTTTTTGTTTTTTGTTTTTGTTTTCTGTATCCATTATTTTTTGTGTTTTTAGGATGTTTGTATTCAACAATTTATAATCTCCAGTTTTGTGCTTGGACAACAAATAAAAAAATATTTCGGTATTTTACCTGATAACACCATCATACGTGATACTTTTGGAAGCAAGGTACCACGCATAGTGGAACGTTATCACATTCTTTGCACATAAAATATGTTTCCTTCCTTTGTTTTTTGGAATAACATTCAGTGCATCGTTTTCTCATCTTCTTATCGTCTGAAATATAGGATGGATAGTGATTTCGTGACGAGCGTAGAGGATTTTTGAGTTTGCAATGATACTTCTTAGATGATGTGTGTTGATCACAATGCTCTCTAACAGCTCTGCTGCCAGTGCACGATGAAACTGTAAAGAAGTCTTTTTTTTTGAGTCAGTTTGGAGATGATTATAGACGACGAAAGCATTGTAAATTGCAGTATCGAATAAATGATAGTATAATTTGTGATACCACTTGACAGTCTTGTGAATCGTTTCGTAAGAAGAAATAGACTGATCTGTTTTATCTACACCTCCCATATTGTTATTATAAGAAATAACAACATTTGGCTTCATGATCTTTTTCTTGGTGAGCCTATCTATTTTTCCGGTATCAATCATGGCTGGATTGTGCATTGTTGTGAGCATCGTAACAACTTTTTTGTCTTTCCATGCCAGAAAAGCCAATTTTGGAGTGTACCAAACTGTCATGTCACCAACTCTTAGATTTTTTGTGTTCTCCTTTGGCATGTATTTACGATTTTCACGCACGGTTCCGCAGACATTCGTTTTTTCATCGACAAGCTCTTTGCACAAAAGTGGAGATGTATACCAGTTGTAAATGTAAAGCAATCGGCCTTGACCTGCGAGATCTCCAAGTAATGTTTTTACTACTGTGCCAGATATGCCTATTCCTTTACGGGCTCTTTGATTTTCACGATCTTTACCTGTGTATATGTTCAGATCATAAACGTAGCCAGTTTTTGACTCGCAATTTTTGTATACTTTTATCCCGAAACGAGCTCGTTTATTTCGATTACACTGTCTAAAACTTAGACGACCTTTAAACGGTATCAATGATTCGTCAATGCTTATATCTTTTCCTGGTCTATAAACGGCTTTGAAGTTTTCAACCAGAAGTTCTTGAACAAGACGAATTTTTTCAAGCTTATCTGTTGAATCATCCTCATTTTCGGAGAAATGTAGTAGAGTTAACAACTGACGGAATCTGTCATATGTCATTACAGAAGAAAAAAAGGGTGTTGCTAACATTGTATCTTTGGTCCAATACATTTCAAGTGATGGTTTGCGTATAATTCCCATCAAAATAATTATTGCATGGAATGTATACATTTCATCAGGATCTGTTTCTGTATACTTTAGTATTCTCGATTGCGGCTTCAGTTTGTTAGCAAGACTTAAGGCATTTTTTTTCTTTGCAGCATACTTATTTGTTTCATAACAAATAATCTCAATCATATCTTCCGAAAGAAACTTTTTCAAAATTTCGGCTGGACTGCTGTACCTATTCAGACCACTTTCAGATTGTACACCGGCATTCAAATCAGTAAATGGATGAAGTATTGGCTCAAATGGTGACTGTTCAGACTGTCTAGTCCATGTCAGATCTTTTCGGAGCCTATCCAAGCGCTCAGATAGTGGTACATTGTCATTCTCAGATTCTGAAAGCACATCTTGAGCACTTTCCTGTGGCCCATTATTGGATTGCTGAATCCCTTCTGCTTCATTGTCACTCTCGCCGATCAACCAATAATTGTTATCGAGAGAAATGTTTGTGTCCGAATCAGAACTGTTTATTTGTACCTCATCAATTTTTCGTTTTCGAGTATACACCGAACGTGCCCTCAACATTGTAGTAAACAAAAAAGACCGTTTCTTACAATATACTCTGTATTTTCTTAGAGATATGATATAATAATCGATGTCAAAGCAAAAAATGAAAATTCAATCTTTATTAATTTTATACGCTGGAAAAAAATACATTGTGAGTGTTTGTCTTTATTTCCGTAACCCAAAAGCCTATACAACACAACAAATTTCTCGCTAGATATTTATATTGTTTATATTATTTTTTATATTATGTGAGATATGTTCTAGCATTCAGGCGCTCAAATTCAAATTAACCGAAACCATAAGGAACTCACTTTTATTGGAATCAAACTATTTTTCAAAGGACCAGGCTCGATTTGGCCGATTTTCGGCCCCCAACCGATTCAATTGATTTTCATTGGAATATCTTCTAGGGTCAGTAAGATATGAGAAAACATGATTTCCGATCGAAAAATCACATGGAAGGGGGAGTGTCTAATGTACCAAAATGTTGATATCAACAGTCTATAAAAAATCGCGCTCTATATCGCGGGGGAAAACGCCAGTATCGAAATCAAATCCACTTGTATGAGTCGTATGATAATTCTAGAGTTGTGCACAAACCATGTCGTATTGATTATCGGTACCTTAGTAGTGCAACATTAACTTAAATGACGAAATTCATCGATTTTTGCATGATTTAACCGGATTCAAACGATTTTTTATAGACTATTGATATCAACATTTTGGTACATTAGACACTCCCCCTTCCATGTAACGTTATTTTTTCGATCGGAAATCATGTTTTCTCATATCTTACTGACCCTAGAAGATATTCCAATGAAAATCAATTGAATCGGTTGGGGGCCGAAAATCGGCCAAATCGAGCCTGGTCCTTTGCATCCGCTATTTCAAATTTTGGAAATCCGATTTCAGATTCGGATTCAGCGACCTCAAAAACCATAATACTAGAACTATAGGATAAATCAATGAAAATTTTTTTCCAAGACAAAAATGGCACGAAAAGCTTATTTTCGCCTCACTGCTAAGGGTATAATGATTTGAATCCTATAATGTTATAAGATATTTATTTATAAATTTATTTAAGCTTAATAGGTTGTACGAAAACGAAGAAGTTTTTAGACTTATATATGATTAGATTGCAACGTAAAAGTAGTAGTGTAGGAGGAACATCGATTCTTGAGGTCCGCACACTTATAATGTCACAGACAAAGTGATCGAAAGGTGAAAAATGAGCGGTGTTAACTTATTATATTTGTGTATCTATTTTCAGAGTTTCGGTAGTTTATCAATACTGTTTATATATGTGTCAGGTAAACATTCTGTGTCCGTTTGCAAGTTCAAACTATTTGTTTGTCTTTTAATATAAATCATCTCGGAGATAAATCTTTTTCCGAGGAAACTTTCTTTATCAAGAATTTTTACTTCATTTTATTTAAATTCGTGGTTAAAATCTAGCCTATGGTTAGTTACAACAGATTTATTTATTGTATTCTTATTAATGCCAAGTTTATGTTCCGAAATCCTAGTACTTAAGTTACGTCCCGTTTGGCCCACATATGATGCATTACAGTCTGCACATTCAATTCTATAAACAACATTGTCACTTTAGACAAAAATGAATACATAAATAAAATAGAAAATATGCTAAAAGATAACAGCACATACGTTATTGTTAATAAAGATCCGACTAGGAAATTAACCACTAGCCTACGAGACCTATTGTTTAGATGGAAAAATAAAAAATACATTTCTGTACAAACTTATAAATCTCTACTATTTACTGACGGCATTCTTGCAAGAGCATACGGTCTCCCGAAGATCCATAAAAATAATTGTCCATTCAGAATTATAGTCTCCTCAATTAATAGTCCACTCTACGATCTCGCTCTATTTCTACATAAAATTATGAAAAACAGCTTTCCAAAAGCTAACAGCCATATAGAAAATAGCTATAAACTGGTCAACAAAATTCAAGATCTTAATATTGACAATGATTTCAAATCTTATTTATAATATCTTTAGATGTTAAGAACGTAAATATTTGAGAATTGCCAGACAGAATTTAAAAAAGGTAAAATTCTTCTCTCGACCGTACTGGCAAATATTATTTATTCAATTACAACGTTTCGACCCTTCTTTGAGTCCTTATCAAGTGATCTAGATATACATATATATAGACAGAGATTAATACAATAAAAAAAACAAAATTACTTTACTAACAATATTACAAAATGATAAAAAGAAAAAGAAGCGAAACATACTTGTAAAAATAAAAATAAAATTATAATTTTAAGATGTCAAGAACGAACATAGTGTCGGTTTGACAACACGTCAAGATTCTTAGACGAGTTATTGGAGACTAAACGACCTTTATTATTTTGTCGTAGATATTACTTAGATTGTCGGTATCCTTTTGTAAATTAATAGCGTTATTATTGAAATTTCGACCTAACTGGCCAGTACAATTTAATTAGAAACACTACGTTTCGACCCTTAGGTACGGGTCCTTTTCAAGTGTAACTGCACAATAAAATATACAATGATTAAGATATGAAACAATAAATTACAAAGTTGTTAACCAAGAAAATTAAAAATATTATACAATAATGTAATGTAGCTATCTAGATGTTAATTCGACAGCAGTAAAATTACTAATGTTAACGGAGACAAGTAAATCAATTTAAGTCAAACGTTTAAAAACACAATAATATCAAAGTTCGACAATACAACGACATAAATAAATAAATAAATAAATAGACAATCATATACTGTGGATCAACTTATCATAAATAGGATTTAGATTTTCTGTGTCTCTTTGTAAATTGATGTTATTCTTATATTTTTTAATAAAAAACATCTCCGCTAATTCTCTCTTCTTTCTGTGTTTCTCGCAATGCAAAATCTTAGGTTTCATCCATTTAAATTCATGGTCATATTTTGTTCGATGTTTGCTAATTACGTTATGATTACTATGGTGTTGTTTAATATTTTTAAAAATGTTTGTTTACGCGTGTAGCTAAATGTCTTTTTGTTTGTCCTGTATATGTTGCGTTGCAATTGTTACATTCTATCAAGAGACACGGTAGTGTCTCGCGACCAGTTAAGGGCGTAGCCGAGACACCGTGTATCTTAACGCGAGTCGGACATTTGAGTCTTTATAATATTTCGAATTCTCAATAACGGCTGAAGCAATCGAGTTTATACTAGACTTAATCGATAGATTGAGTTTGAATTATATAATAAAGTGTCTTTATTTCTGCTCTACGTGATTTATAAGCAGAGATATATAATTGCAAAGTCGAAATATGAAAAATTTCTTTTAAGAAACGTCCCCGTCATTATCATCATCGACCACGCATACATAGTAGTATCGTGCTACACGTATTCACACGTATACAACACATGCGCACACATATATCACACGTACACAACACATGAATAGATGCATGTATTGGAAATGCCCATCTCGCACGTTTTACAACAGACGGCGATAGTTGCCCTCCGCTATATTGACAGCGTGCGGGGTTAGATATTTTCAATTTCAATTTCAATTTCAACGTGCGGGGTTAGATATTTTCAATTTCAATTTTTACATTCAATTTTAATGTTATTATTTGCAAATTTATTGTCATAATATTTCAATAATATTTCAATTATATAAATGCCTATGTATGAGTATGCATATATTTTTAATAATAGTTGCCCTCCGCTATATTGACAGCGTGCGGGGTTAGATATTTTCAATTTCAATTTTTACATTCAATTTTAATGTTATTATTTGCAAATTTATTGTCATAATAATTTATGTGCAAGTTTACAGTCTGTGATACAAAATCAGATATTTTGCTATTATTTCAATTATATAAATGCCTATGTATGAGTATGCATATATTTTTAATAATTTTCTTAATTAGCTTCTATATTTTTTTCAGTTGTACATCAAGCAGGTAGCATTATCAGCTCACTTGTGAGCATGGGTTGGGCAATGGCTAGTTATCATCGCAGCATTCGATTAGCTTAACAAGATAAATCTAATATCAGTGCTATAGGAACTATTTTACAATTTTTCTGGCATTTTCTTATTGCAGGTACATATATATCCAATAATTAATATACAAAATTAAATATTATTCATCACACACTTTGTATCAAAATAATATATTTTTTAAATTTATTTTAAATTATTTAATCATTTTTATCATTGTGATTGTAGTGGCAAGGATCTTATTGCTCAGTGTCATTGCAAGCATCTGGCCTGTATATACCATAATATATTGTGTAATACATTGGCTAAGTATGACAATATAGATTTTGATAGATTCCCATGGAATATTGGAATTTTGTCGGACTTACAGTCATCCACCACATATGCAGCCTACAATTAAAGAACGCATTTATTCCATATGATTTGCTTCCGTTATTGGAATATTTAAAATAAAAATTTTATTAATAAATTTCGATGAAATAATTTATAAGAGGTTGAAGAAACTATGAAACAAATTCAGTCTCATAAAAGGGTAGTTGGAACAATAGTGGTGAATGCAGAAGGTATTACATGAGATCATTGACATGATTTACTTGTAGTTGTAAACAAAAATTTATAAAATTATATCTGTTTTAGGTATTCCTATAAAGTCAACATTAGATAATACGACAACAGTTCAATACGCAAGTTTGATAAGCCAATTGTCAGATAAAGCTCGTTCTGTCGTACGTGACTTGAATCCAACAAATGATTTAACTTTCTTGCGCATACGTAGCAAAAAACATAAAATTATGATGGCACCAGATAAAGAATTCATATTAATAGTAGTACAAAATCCAGTTGATTGATATTTAAAAGAAACAAAAATATATTTCAAAGTTAAGATTTATTTCTTTGGTTGTTAATTTAATCTGTATGCTACATTGGATGTTAATATCTATTCAATTAAATAAAGAAAAATAAAAGAATAAAGCTTAAAAATTATACAAAATGCAGTATTTAATTACTAATTTAACAAATTATGAACTTTTAG